TAAAAAAAAAAAAAAAAAAAGAAAGAAATTGAATCCAAATTGGTCCAATAAGGAGCCTTCTATACAGTTACTAGAAGACAAAGAGTTGTGGGTTCATAGGAGGCCTTCTGTAAGGTTACTAGAAGACAAAGAGTTGTGGGTTCATAGGAGGCCTTCTGTAAGGTTACTAGAAGTCAGGGCTACTACTTCTCCATCTGGAACTCTTACCAATTTTATGTATAAGAACTATGGATGGAGAACCTGTGCTTTTCTAGAAAAATAAGCAAATTTTGCCAAAGATAACTTAGAATTATAGTGGTCACAAAAGAAAAACTCCTTAACTTCAGACAAAAAGGCACATGTCTTTACAGCTATAATAGCTATAGGAACCAAGAAGACCTCCTCTTTACAAACAACAATTTAATTTTCAGGCCTCGTCAAGAACTGCAAGTGGATAGAGATTAAAATTTTGCTTCTCCTATAGTCCCCTATTACAGAAAGATTAAGATAGTTGGATCTGCTAGTAAACATGTTTTGTGTCACATTGAAGAACTATACTACGAGACAGCACACACTTCTAGAAATTATGAATCATAGATTTGTCAGTCTGCGTGATGCCAGCACAACAGTTCATGGTTGCTTACTTTCTAGCTTTCACTGAAAGTTAAAGTTACTAAGAATTAGGAATTCCAATTCGTATGTGTGGTTAAAATTACCAGAAAGAATAAAGAAAACAACTCTATATGCAAGTATGCAAAGAAGTAAGTTGTGGTTTTGGTAAGAAAACATATGAGGTACGAGGGTGTGTTTTATTATGTTAAGGGAAAAAGTAATAGCTGCTTCAAAGTGAAAGGACTGGTTCTTTTATAAAAAGAAAGAGGAAGAGTATAGGACAGAATCCGAATGGATATAAAAAAGTTGTGGAATCTTGGGAAAGGAGTTTCATGTGTGATCAATCTAGCTGAGATTTGAAGGGAATTATTTATGTATTTTTTAAAATTGAGCATTAAGGCTGGGCATGGTTGCTTATGTTTGTAATTCTAGCTCTCTGGGAGGCCAAAGAAGGAGGAAGGCTTGAGGTTAGAAGTTGGACACCAGCTTGGGCAATGCCAGACCCTGTCTCTACTAAAAATATAAAAATTATCCAGTGTTGTGTAGGGTGCCTATAGTCCCAGTTAGTTGGGAGGCTGAGGAAGGAGGATAATTTGAATATAGGAATTTGATGTTGCTGCAAGCTAGGTTGATGCCACTATACCGTAGCCTGGGCAACAGAGTGAGACTCTGTCTCAAAAAGAAGAAAAAAAAGCTCTACTATACAACTCATGGAATAGTTAAAAGAAAATTATGAAAAATATTGCTGTGGTGACTATTCTAAAATTGCTAAAATTATTTATAATCAGTGTTTGGTTTGTTAAACTTGTAATTCTTATAAGACAATAAAAACTTGAGGTGACATATTTCTACTATCTGCTGGACCATTTGAACACTTATGAATGGAGTTTATTCATTTGCCACTCTCAGTGGGTTATCAAGATGTTCCTATAATAGTCTGTGTGTTCTCTGGTTGGCTATAGTTTTCTCATGGAGGGAGACTGATGCTGTAATGGTAGCTGATTGGTCATCAGAAAATGTGTTTCCTATATGGAGCATTCCTGGAGAAATCTCCAGTGATAGACGATTTCTACAACAGTTTAAAGACAAGTCATGAAACAGTTTAGAACAGTTAAATAAGGCATTACAAACACAATAGCATTACCATTGTCCCCTTCAATCTTCTGGGAAGATAGAAAGGACAAATGGTAATTAATATTTTTTTTTTGAGACAGAGTCTCACTCTGTTCCCTTGGGTACAGTGTTGTGGTGTCATAGCTCACAGCAACCTCAAATTCTTGGGTTTGAGCAATCCTCTTGCCTCAGTCTCCCAAGTAGCTGGGACTAAAGGTACCTGCCACAACACCCAGCTTGTTTTTCCATTTTCAGTAGAGATAGGGTCTTGCTCTTGCTCAGGTTGTTCTTGAACTCCTGAACTCAGGCAATCCTCTAATCCTCCTGCCTTGGCCTACCAGAGTGCTAGGATTATAAGTGTGAGCCACCACATCCAGCCAGTAATTTAAAAAGTGAAATTGGCGAAGTTAACTTCATGGCCATCTGATCCATCCTTACTAGAAACTATAAATTAAGAAAGAATCACTGGAAAACCTATGCCCCTAATAGAACCTCACGCATCTCCAGTTCTTATCAACACCAACATGACTAAATATTGTAAGGCTTTAATAATGCGTTATGCCAAACTGTATTTTCTTTCTTTTTTTTTTTTTTGGCTGGGGCTGGGTTTGAACCTGCCACCTCTGGTATATGTGGCTGGCGCCCTACTCCTTTGAGCCACAGGCAACACGCCACCAAATTGTATTTTAACCAGGTAAAAGGTAATTCACCAGCTGAGGACAACCAAACTTTTCGTTTCTAGAATCTAGAATAGGTTTTCGATCTAGAATAGGCATCCTCAAACTATGGCCTTCGGGCCACAAGCAGCCTGCCTAGGACATTTATCTGGCCCACCAGGTGTTTTTGCTGCCGCTGCCTGTCCTGCTTAGCAGCTGACTTGTCCCGGGGCCCACAGTCTGGCCCTCCAATGGTCTGAGGGACAGTGAACTGGCCCCCTGTTTAAAAAGTTTGAGGACCCCTGATCTAGAACCTAGAGATTGGGTCTTCCATAAATGACAGCAGAAAAGGACTGACCTTGAACTCTGTTAGAAAGGACCGTAACCACCCACTGTAGCAAAACTTCAGAGCTTCCAGTCTTGGGTCTACATCTCTCAATGTAGGAACACCCCTCAAGACTCTCCAGACTGGATATCTGTGGTAGACTTCAAGGTAAAACTGACCAAAAAGGTTATCACAGAAGCAGATGACATCCTCTATCAGTGGTTCTTAACATTCTTAATGCTGCAAACCTTTAATACAGTCCAAAGGGGTCGCCACCCACAGGTTGAGAACCACTGTCCTAGATGTATGGTTAGATAGCTTTTCCAAGATCACACGAATTATTTGCTAGGCTCAGGGGATCCTCCTGCCTCAGCCTCCAGAGTAGCTGTGACTACAGGCACATGACACCATGCTCGGCTAATTTTTAAATTTTTTGAAGAGACAGGATCTCACCATGTTGCCCAGGCTGCTCTCGAACTCCTGGCCTTGAGTGATTTTCCTGCTTCTGCCTCCCAACGTGCTAGGATTACAGGCATGAGCCACCACACCCAGCCAAGATTTCTCTTCCTGTCATCATGACCTTTCTTTCTTTTCCTCTTTTTTCTGTGCCATCTTTCTGTTTATGGATAGCAATCTAGCACTATGGTTAGGATTTCAAAATTGATAGCTTCTGTAGGAAACTTTAACTAAATGCTGTATATGTCATGTTAAACCTAAATCCTATATGATCTTAAAGATCTTCTAGTTCATCCTGTGACAGATTTCACTGATATTTCAAATGCAACTACTTGTTCAAATTGTACATCTGGTCCAGGCAGGGCTCACATCTATAAACCCAGCACTTTAGGAGGCATGGTCAATATATAAAATTTAATTGACTTTCTACATGTATATATATTCCACATATGAATATGTAATATTATTGTCAGTGTTTCAAAAATATCAAATACCAGAGAATAAATCTCACAAAATGTATCCAAGAACTTTATGCAAAAACCATAAAATATTGTGATAAATTAAAGAAGACTTAAATAAATGGAGAGCTACGTCATGTTTAGGGATGGGTAGTTTCAGTATTGTAGTGATGTCAGATAATTCCCAAATTGATCTACAGAGTCAATGCATTGCCAGTTAAAATCCCCATAGGGCTTGTTTTTTTGAAACTGACAAGCTGATTCTGCCATTCATGACAATATGCAGAGGGCCAAGAATAACCAAGACACAGCTGAAGAATAACAAGGAGGGCTCGGCGCCTATAGCTCAACCGGCTAAGGCGCCAGCCACGTACACCTAAGGTGGCGGGTTCGAATCCCCAGCCCGGACCCGCCAAAACAACAATGATGGCTGCAAAAAATAGCCGGGCGTTGTGGCGGGCGCCTGTAGTCCCAGCTACTTGGGAGGCAGAGGCAGGAGACTCGCTTGAGCCCAGGAGTTGGAGGTTGCTGTGAGCTGTAATGCCACGGCACTCTACCCAGGGGGACAGCTTGAGGCTCTGTCTCAAAAAAAAAAAAAAAAAAAGAATAACAAGGAGGAAACATTTGCTCATCCAGATACTGACATATGTTATATCTTTGATATAGTGTGTTACTAGTATAAGGCTAGACAAATGGAGATTGGGTCAGAATGGAGAGCACTGAAGCAAGACCCACCCCTATATGGATATGTGACTGTTGACAAAGATAATATTGTTGATTATTTCCCCATGAGGATTTTTTTTTAAATGGTGCTGGGTTAATTGAATATTCATATTGGGAAAAAAGAGTCCCTGTCTTCTACCTCAACTATTAATGCCAGGTACATTATAGATCTAAAAATTAAAAGCAACACAATAAAGAGTTTAGAAAGTAATAAGAAAACTACCTTCATCATAACATGTGGATAATTCTTAAATAGGCCACAAAAATCACAATTAAAAATACAGGAAATGGGGTGAAGCGTGGTAGCTCATGCCATTAATCCTAGCACTCTGTGAGGCTGAGGTGGGTGGATTGCTTGAGCTCAGGAGTTGGAGACCAGCTTGAGCAAGAGTAAGACTCCATCTCTACTAAAAATAGAAAAATTAGTTAGATTTTATGGGAGGCGCCTGTAGCCTCTCTCAGCTACTGAGAGAGGAGGCTGAGGCAAGAGGATCGCTTGAACCCAAGAGTTTGAGGTTGCTGTGGGCTATGATGATGTCATGGTATTCTACCAAGGTGATTGAGTGAGACTTTGTATAAAAAAAATGTTTATATATAAGACATGTGAGAACATCTGTTCCTCAGAAGTACTATAGTTTGGGGCAGCCCCTGTGGCTCAGTTGGTAGGGCGCCAGCCCCATATACCAAGGGTGATGGGTTTGAACCCAGCCCCGAATGGCAACAAAAAGTAGCTGGGTATTGTGGCGGGGGTCTGTAGTCCTAGCTACTTAGGAGGCTGCCTCAGCCCAGGCCCAGGAGTTGGAGGTTGCTGTGAGCAGTGTGATGCCACAGTACTCTACTGAGGGTGATAAAGTAAGACTCTTGTCTCTACAAAAAAAAAAAAAGTACTATAGTTTGAATGATGATATCCTCTCCGAAATTCATTTTGAAACTTAATGTCCAATGCAACAGTATTAAGAAGTACTGCCTTCGGAAATGATTCAGTCATGAGGGCCCTGCCTTCATTTATGGAATTAACACCGTATGAAAAGGTTTGAGATTGAATGTACTGCTGCTCTCTTGCCCTCCTGCCTTGTGCCGTGTAAAGACATAGCAACAAGGTACCATTGTGGAAGTATAGAGTAGCCCTTAGCAGACACCAATGCAGGCGCCTTGATCTTGGACTTCCCAGCCTCTAGAACTATAAGAAATAATTTTCTGTTCTATAAATTACCCGTTCTCCAGTATTTTGTTATGCAGCACTAATAGACTAACACAGAAAGATTCCATTAAGAAAGTAAAAGGAGACCATAGATGGCAGAAATTTTTGGAAGTAATGGATGTATTTATTTCCTGGATTGTGGTGATAATAACCGTGAATGAATACATATATTCGAACTCACCAATTTGTATACATTAATTATAGTTTTTTGTATACCAATTATACCTTAATAAATCTGGGGAAGAATGAAAATCTAGAATAGGCTTGGCGCCTATAGCTCAACCGGCTAAGGCGCCAGCCACGTACACC